TATTGAGTGATCCACCCTCTTTCATCCACTCCTAGCATCTGGGCGGCAGAGTCTTAGGGATACTCAGAGCATGGGGTTATATCCCTGACCATCTTGGCTAATAGCCATTGATGGACCTATTCATCAATTTATGAAATTCTTTTTTAAACCCAGTTGTACTTTTAGCCATAACATTCTCTGGTAAGTTCCACGGTTTTCTGTATTGTTTTTCCTTAGGCCATAATTCTTTGGATTGAAAAAGCTCTGGCAAAGATCTGTTTGTTTCCAGAGGCAGCGAGTTCTATGGGCCCAGCAAAGTCCAGGGCTGGGTCTCTCCCCCAGCCCCACCTACTGCCCTCCTTCACTCCTCTCTGTGCATTCCCCACACCCATTTGCGCTTCAGGACGATTTAAAACAGCCCAGGGGCCACTACTGGCAGTGCAACAGGGCTAGAATGGTTCCTGGCCCCCCAAATTCTGCAATGTGAGCAGTGGACAGAGACAATCCCTCTGCCCAGGAGCCTCAGAGACAGAAGCCAGCAGCAGCGCGGAGCAGGTGGGCAGGAAGCCACTCTAGCCTCGCTGCACTGCTGGCGGTGGTGGCAGGGATCCTGGGCTGTTTAAAAGGACTGAGAGACACATGGAGGTGGCAGGTGGGCAGCAGCGCATGGAGACAGCTCCTCCCTCCATGAGCTGCTGCCAGAGGGGGCTGCCCTAGGTAAGCATTACACCCCTATTGCACACCCCACTCCCAGATCCTGCATCCCAACCCCATGCACCAGCCCAGAACGCGCACCCCTGCCCCCACCCAAACTCCCTCTCAGAGCCGTAAGCAGGTGGGGAGGGAGAGAGTGACTGGGAGAGGAATGCAGGCTCTGGGCTTTCTGGGCACCACCAATATTTCTGCAAATCCCCTTCCCTCCCCCATTTCTTTCAGGATATTAGATTATTCACAGAATAATGCAAAAAGCATTATGAGATTGAAGGGAACAAACAATGAATCAGAAATTCAACCCTGCCCTTTGTGAAGGGGCGTTAGGAAGTCTCTGACCTATAAGCTGACATACTTGACATACTTACTTCATCTTTGTGTAAACACAGACAGTTATCAGGGGGTAGCCGTGTTAGTCTGAATCTGCATAAACAACGAGAAGTCCTGTGGCACCTTATAGACAGATGTATTGGAGCATAATCTTTCGTGGGCAAAGATCCACTTTGTCAGATGCATGCATTCATCTCTGATGACTGTTATGTAATAACGTTATATCGAATACAGTGTGAGAATGGTGTGTGTGTGAAAAGCTTTCATTTACCTCAGCCCAATACCACATGTTAAAATTACAGCTGCCTTGCCCACACCAGGATTTTAACACATATTAGCTAACGTGTGACAAATCAACCTTTTGTCTTTGTGCCGATAACAGGTAGAACCAAACCTGGGACCTCTGGAGCTTACTGCCTGAGCGGCTAGGCTACAGCTTGAGCTAAAAGACTCCTTGTTCTCTCTGAAAGTGGTGTAAGTGTCACTAGATGTGACAGTGAACTGAATCCAGCAGATGTGTGGGTTACACAGACACGGCCCTACTTTTCTTTATGTAGCCAAAACCAGAGGTACCAGCAATAGGTGGGGAGTCTGAGATTTCCTACCCCACCCAGCCCTGGGAAGAAGAATAGCCAGACTGGAAGCCTAATCCGAACTAGCTAGTCCGTGCCGCGTTTAGCCGCGCGGCACGGGGTCCGACCTAGCCAGCATTTAAAAATGGCACCGGCCGGCTTTATGCAAATGAAGCCCGGGAAATTCAAATCCCGGGCTTCATTTGCAACTCCGTATGACTACATTACCCCCCCTAGTTCGAAATAGGGGGGTAGTGTAGACATACCCTTTGAGGGGTGGTTTATTAACACCCCCGAGAAACAAGCTCTGCTGCCTGTCGGGCATAGCTCCAATTGGGCCATGGAAAGTAGGACATGCTCGGGGCATAGGGGAGAAAGGCTACAAAGGGGACCAACAGCGGTGCTGTGTGACAGCCAAGGAGATGCAGGAGGCGTACCAGAAGGCAAAGGAGGCGAACAATGGCTCGGCACTGAGCCACCCACCTGCCGCTTTTACAAAGAGCTGCATGCATCTTGGCAGAGAAACCCCCTCCAGGGCCCAGCGATTATTTCGGAGCAGCCCCAGTTGGAAGCCCTCGCCATATGCAGCCAGGAGAAGATGATGGATGAGGAAGAGGAGGAGTTGGGGAGGACAGACAACCAGCGAATCCAGTGGCAGCACGAGCCAGGACATGTTCTTGAGTCCAGCAGAGTCTAGTCAGTCGTTACAGCCCAGCGTGGATGAGCCAGATGCAGGGAAAGGAGCCTCTGGGTAAGTGTGCAGATCGCTTTGGAATTACAGGGACACGTCTGTGGGTGTGCTGCTTTTTAACTGATGCTAGAAGAGGTGAAACAACCACTGGAGATGGAGTTGCTATCTGCTTCTCACCTGCCCCTAGTGTGTGGCAGAGGGGGCCGCTTGCAACACTCTATGTGCACCAGGATATCCCAGGAATCCTCCATGCAGATCCTAGGCTACATCTACACTACGAGTTTGCGCAGCAAAAAATATGCTAATGGGGGTCTCATTTGCATGAGTCGCGATCTCATTTGTATATTTTCTGCAGATCCATTTTTGCGCTGCGGTTTTTGTGCAAAAACAAACAGTGTGGACGTTTTCTTTGCGCAAAAAACCCTTTTTCCACAAGATCAATAAACCTCCTTTTTTGAGGCATAAGGATCTTGCGAGAAAAGGGGTTTTTGCACAAAAAGGAAATGTTAACACTGCTTGTTTTTATGCAAAAACCCCAGTGCAAAAATGGATCAGCAGAAAAATATGCAAAGGAGATCATGACTCATGCAAATGAGCCCTTCATTAGCATATTTTTTGCTGAGCAAACTCGTAGTGTAGACGTAGACTTAAGGAACCTTTCATACATGAAGCCTACAATCCTCTGCCAAAGGTTTCTGAGGAGGACTTTCTCCCTCCCACCCACGCCCCCACCAACTGTGTAGACTGCTGTCTCCGTAGAGAAGCTTCTCCCACCAACGTAGCTACTGCCTGTTGGGAAGGTGGAGTTTTGAAGTCTACAGGTGAGCTCTCTCCGGTCGGCTTAGCCCCAGAGCATCTTGACCAGAAGTGCTACAGTCATACCGATGCACATTTGTAATGTAGGCCTACCCTTAAACCTCCTTAAATACTTTGTAACATTCAGCTGAAAGGCTATCAACTCTTGGGGGTTGCCACTTCTCATACTTGCTATTTACTGCCTCAAACATTTTTCTTCTGTTAGCTAAAGTTTCTTTATCAGTTCAGTTTACTGCTGGCAAGCTGCTACTATAGGT